TATAAACCAGAATCTGAGGACTTACCAACAGATGAAGAGACTGGTTATTTGATTTCTGTTTAAGATAATTTTTCTTCAATTTACTCAACTTTGCAACTTATACACTGAATTAAGTTGGATCAACTTGATTCAGTTACTTGTTACCAATTGAAGTAATTCACAGACAAATCATTATGGAGTCAGAATTTAAAGTTTTACCTTTGATCTTTTTCTTATTATATCTCTAAACTTTTTCTTATCATTAAACAAGCACCAACAAGTTATTACTGAAGTAATAAAGTTTTTTAATTATGGCCCTTTACTTATATTGCACCTTTTTAAGTCAGTCCAATTCACACCAAGCTACATTGTAGCCACAGTTGCCTTGAGACACACTGCACACCAAACCCTCTGCACACTATGAATAGGCTATGCAGGTAAAGTGTAAATGGAGGTAAATTGAGCTGGGGTTTAAAGCAGTAAGTCTCTGGCTGCATGACAAATACACCCTACGCCACTGTCACCCTAAAATGTGAGGCTTAGATCACTATGATAACAAGGAATATTTTCCACTGATTATGGAGGATGAAAAAGTTACCAACTTTTATTATGTGAAAATAAATACAGATACAACAAGCTTATTCTCTTTCTAAGCTTTTTTTAATACAATTTTATATTGTTTATAAACAATCATCCAAATGTACATATTTTTCATAAACATTTCTGCAGCTCTACTTGTTTTTTTTAATGCATGCAAATACTGATTGTTTTTATCCCACAATCAGTATTTGCATGCATTAAACTTTGTGTTTAATCATCAGCAATCATTTTAGTTGCAAGCATTACAAGGATGATTTTGTTTTGCAATTTAATTATTTAAAATCTTTCTTTTTATTAATCTGGTGCTTTATATGCAGAGAGACTAAAGGTGACTGAGGAGGAGCTTTTTATTCATAACAGAAGGTTGAAATTTCTTGATGTCACACCGATCTAAAGCCTGGTGCAAAGAACACCTTGTACCTGATTAAGCAGAGTGATGAAACCATTATGCTATTGGGGTATTTTAATAAAGTGAAAGTTCAATAAAAAAGAACCCTGTCCCTTAATCTGATAATTTAATGGATTTCGTTGTTGGGTTTTACACTTTATTGATGACACAGCATTTATTTTGATTAACAACAGAGAGGAGGTCCTTTCCTTGCCTAGTAAGTCTCCAAAGATCAGTTCAATTAGAAATGTGTGCAGGAAACTGAAGCTTTCTGTAAAGTGGACTGGACCAAAATATAACCAAGGATTTGTTTTCATACATGGTGACAACCTACTATAAATGTCTTAGCCATGCGCATGCCAACAAAAATTTTCCCACCAATTTCTAGGCCTTATTTTGCTTCAGGATCAAATACTTATGTTTTTGTTTGATATTCTGTTTCCCCACCTTTAATTGAAGCTATCATAAATATTTAGAACTGTTCGTCCTTTGCAAAAGAGTAAGCTTATAAATTCAGCAGAGGATCAAATAAATACGTCCCACAGTGTATCACTGAAGTTCTTGCTTCTTATGCCAAACCGACTTCTTTTTTAAACAATGGATATCTGAAAAATCGGTGAAATGTAAATAAAATCATAAAACATTGTGCTATGTGGATTTTAACTGCTTTAGAACTTGATCAAATGTAATTAATCATATTAAAGTTGCTTTTAATAGCATCTTAAAGAATTTGAATTTGATTTCAGCTAAATTTAGTGTGTTTCAGCAACAGACAGCATACTTTTTGTAGTTAGCTTGTGGCACATAAAGTAATTTGAGCTGGACTAAACTGAATCAAATCGAGTCAAACTCAAATAAATGTAATAAAACTAAAAAAAGCAGCTGGTATTTAGAGGGAGGCAACAGCAGCATTTCTGCTTCAGGCTTTGGGAGTTTAAACTCAAATCAAAGGCTTACTGCACATCCCTCTAATGGCCAAAACAGAAATGAAAGATTTATCCTATGGGTATTATTGAGGACCCTCATTACTTAAAGAGATTGAAAAAATATTAGAGCCAAAAAGATGATTTCCATTGTTGACTTCAGACTCTCAGGCTGTACAGAAACACAGACTCTAGTGTATATTCCATCTCCTATCCAGATACATTCTTTTCCCATCTTAGAGCAGGTTCCTGTAGTGTTGCAATAAAGCAACCAATGGCAAAAAACAGTAAACTCTGTGTTTCATTTTAACTGCCTTCATGTTGCCTGAAAGAGACAAGAAGCTTGCTTTTGACAGCCAAGTTTTGGTAATTATGCCATAAGTACTGGATCCACCTTTGCTCCCAGCAACACAGGAAGAGATGCAATGTTTAACAGCTGTTTATAGGAACAAAGCTCCTCTCTGCTGCTTTTGGTGTTCTGTCAAAGTTCAGAGCTGACAGGCTTTACAATTAGTGTAACATTTACAAGGTTCTGCACGAGCTGTGGTGGAAATCACTGGAGTCACGCTACTCACACATCCAGCTGCTGTTCTCTGCTCCGGGCCCGACAAGGTGCATGTGTGGAACGCATCATTGCTGCATGAGTTATTCCTAAAATGACTGGCAGCTGTTTTTATGTGCATGCAGGTGTCGATATCAATAGGGCCCAAAATTCTTATTTAAAAAAAAAAAACATCAAATCAGTTTTTTATTTGCTGGTAGCAAATTCTGTTATTAGTTTCTGATTTTTTTTTAACTGCAGCAATCAAACTGATTCAGCCTGTGTGAAGTTTGCCAACACAAATAACTCAAAGGTACTGACATGCAGACTTAGTGAATAATTGCATCCCTATTCATGCCCCGTTTCACATTTTTTATACTGTTGCCACGTCGACAAACTTTATTTGGATATTTGCATATAATGGTTCATAGTTGTAGAGTAGAAGACAATTCAATATAGATTTAAGTTTAAATAAAAATGAAAATACTTGGCATTAATTTTTATTCAACAACTTCATACTACTAATTAATGAATTAGTTTAGAATTAATTAAAAACTTAGTTAAAAAGATTGAATTATGATAATAATAGTGTAAATCCAGCTGTCCTGCAAAGGAGTTTTTTGGAGGAAAAAGATAAATAAACAAAAAGTATCATGAAGACCAGAAAAGACACCCGACTGCTGGGAAAAAGGTTGTAAAGTTTATAGATGCATAGATTATAAAATCATATCAACAAGTTGAAAATCTCCCTTTCAGACCATTTGAAAGGGTAAATATGATTTGTGCCTCTTTGGAAGATCAGTAAAAACAAAGCCCATTTTGGAGGGAGAGCCATATTTTTTTTTAACAAGTCATGAAGGGGAATCAGAAAAGCTGAGAAAGGAGGTTTTTTTCTTTGAACTGAAACCAAAATCAAATATTTGACTAACATGCAAAACATCATAAACTAACTCTGCACATCACCATAAACCCAAGAAAGCTGCTATCAACTGACTGGACAGTGGCTAAATGTAGAGTACCAGGCTGCACTAGTCTGGGATGGAGAATGACCTTCCTAATGTAAAAATATAGCTAGAGGTGCAATGCAATGGTATAGATCACTCAAAATAAGGGCTCAAAGTCCAGGTCGTACGGTGAGCTAATGTTGACAGACACTCTCCATCCAGTATGACTCAGCATGTGCTATTTTGCAAAGAATAATTGGAAAGAAAAATCTGTCTCAATATGTCAACAGCTGGCAAAGAAATACCCCTTAAAAACTTGCAGCAGAAAAGTAGTTCTACTTTAGTTGTTGCACATAAAATTGCTACGAAAAACACTGAATGCCGTGGATGCACTGTAACAAAGAAATCTAAAAGTGCAACAGCTTTAAAAATGTCTTTTAAAGTGGCTTTAAATGCGTCATAAATTAAATCTAGCAATAAAGTTTGATTATTATGCTGCTGTTAGGCAAAAAGGAAACTTTGATACATTAAGCCTATCCCTTCATTTGAAAAGTCTGTAAAGGCTTAATTACCACTCCTTTTTTCATCAGAGCCTGAAGTACGAATGATAAATAACAATGCAGAGATCCAAAACTGCTCTAAATGAAAAAAAAACAAAAAAAAAAAACAACACAAAACGTGCTTAGAATACAGTTTGCTCCCTGTTTTCTCGCTGATTTAAGGAGAGGGGTGTATAATACGAAACTTAGAAATATTTTCTAAGGAATGCTCTGCTGCAACTAGCCAAAATCAACTTCCACTCCACGACGGATACTAGGTCATTATTCACCAAATGCCCCTTCTGGAAAGTCATGTTAGAGGACGGGGTGTGGCGGGCCCTTCCGTCACCTCGCTCCATGTCTTATCAAGACTACAAGATTATTGCCTGGTTCCTTATCTTTCTAAGCACACAGAGGTGGGCTGAGATTGTATCAGAGCTGCTTGGGGAAATTAACCGACAGCTAGACACTGCTAAAGCCCCAGTAGGGGCGAATACTAAAATACAGAAGGGAAAATATTTACAGTACAAGTATTGAAGAAAAGGGCTTTGCTGTGTTTCAACAAGAAGGTTTCCATATATTGTAAAGGTCTAAGATTACAACAACATTAATCAGTGTTTTGGCACCATTGTTTGGCAGCTGCAGATGACTGCTTGAATACTGACAGCCATCAGTTCCTTCATACTCTTGTTACAGCAGAGGTGAAGGAGTGGTAGACTCTCACAGTTATCCCACTCAGGATGCACAGCACAGCTGCAAGGCCAGTGAAAACAAACTCCCATAGGGTGATAAGACATGCTTAATGACAACCCTAAAGCCTTTTCCACTGCATCTGTGCAGCCCTTCGCAACCTGATGGGATTGGCGTCTATACCTTAGGCTCCTTTATTACTCCAATAACAATACATCACATTTCCTTCCTTTTGTGTTGGATGTTATGGAGATAAGATTTCCATGTTCTAACTAAATTTTATAATTAGGGTATGCAATTTCTAAGTAGAGCAAGAGGAGAGCATAAATTATGATTTTTTTTAACAATCTAAATGTTTTTTATCTAACTGAAAAGAATTTAAATGTATGGGCTTACCTGGTTTTGGAGGCTTTCCTCCTTGTCCTGATGGGTAAAAATAAGAGGGTCTTTTAGGATTCTTTGGTTTACAGCCTTACAGAAAGATATAAGCATGCCTTGATGAACATCTCTGAACATTTGCAGGGTCTTTATAAAAAAAATACCTGCTGGCAGACCTCCATAGCCAAGGCCACCTCCTGGTACCAAACTGCCGGGTCCAACTCCTCTGCCTCCACCTCCGTAACCTCCTACTGTTGGATTCAACCAAGCACACTGTCATTAGTCATAATGAAAATATAATGCAAAAATCTTTTAATCCAGAACTATATATTTTAAGATGACAAGAACTTAATCCACCAATTTAAAGACTTTCTTAATTTCAATTGTATTAATAATTTGTGCTACCGATTATTCATATAGGCCTCGATAGGTGAGGCTGCCTGGAACTACAGCTTGCAGGTCAGTGATGCATGTGCAGCCATGAATATCTAGACCAGGGGTAACCAATTAAAAATTAGCGGGGGCCGAACTAAGAAAATCTTCAAACAGTGAATTTTTAAATAAAAAAAAATGTTATATAATTTTTTTTTTTTTTTTTTTTTAAATCTAAAGTGTTTTTTGAAGTAGAGAACAGTCGTTCAGTTTAGTATATGGACAATTTCCTGATTCACATATTTTATAAAACACCTGAACTGGCCTTTGTTATTTTTCCTTCTTTATGGTTCAATGAGAGCAGTGGGCTTTAGGCTGCTCTGCAAGGCTTTAAACCTGGGTTTGAATGGCAACAAAGCCATTCTCAAGCACATATCAAGGTGCTCATTTCTAGCCAGGATTGATATTTATTTTTGTTTATGTTCATGGTGGAGAATCCTGCTTTACAGCAGTAGGCTGAGCCAAACATACTCAAAAGGTGCAGGGTCACCTTTGTGCACACCATTTCACCTTTCTTTCACTAATTCACCACAGCTTTTTCAGCAGTCCACACTTTCTCTGCTTTCTTTTTTCTTATCGTCTTCTCCTTCTTTCCCACCGCACGGCTTGCCACAGGTTTGCCTGCTGTGTCTAAAAGTGGCTCGCAGCAGTCACCCAGACTGACAAGCTACTAGGCTAATTTGTATCACATGTAGCCGCTCTGAATTGAGACACTGTTGTTGGACAACATGCGGTCATTTCTAAATGTTTTAAGTCAGGCTGGATCCGGATTAGCCAGCAGGTAGGTCCGGATCCGGACCGCGGTCCGCTAATCCGTGACCTCTGATCTAGAGGGTAATATTCAGGGTTTGGGTGTTCTTGGGGATTCCTGAGACAGCTGACAGGTACCAGATAGGCAAAAAGATGGAAACCTCTGTGGTGGAAAGATCACTTTCAGGGTCCCTTCTTTACGGCCACCAGGTACTTCTCAGAAGAGGAAGAATGTTAAGACTAGGGTGAAGTTAAGTGAAATCCCTGGCCTGGTAGAGGTTGCCGGGGTCATTAAAACTTTTCCCTATTGACAAGTCACCAGGAAAAAAAACAAAACCTAAAGGCTCTGGACGCGATTGGTTTCTCATGCTTGAAATATATCATATATCAAAGGTAATTCATAAACAGTATGAAACCCTTTTCATGTGTTTACTAGTCAGGCATTGATCCCAACTGTGACTTTAAGACCGTTACAGTGTAGAACTTTGCAGTAATTGGCTATTTGTTTCTCCAGTTATTTACATTGAAGCCTGAATGGTCATTAGCCATTAAAATTTGACAAAACCTAAGAAGCAAAGTGCAAATTATGCTTTGAATATGGTGTTTGTTAAATTTGCCTAGGCTGCAGTAAATCAGTTGTAGTTTTTTCAGTGCACAAATTAAATCCACAGTTGCTCATTTTTGATACAGACAGGAACATTACTCTTCCCAGAAGCAAATTGCGGCACTTTGTATTTAACTGTTCAGTGTTTCAACCAACATAAAGATGTCAAATGTTCTGAGGTGGCTTCAGTCTTCCTGCAGTCGTTAGCTTTAATATCTTTGGCTTTCAAAAGCTGCTTGAGTCAAACTTGTTTAACCAATGGGAGGCCTGCCCAACATCATGAACTCAGAGGGTGTCCTCCTGCTAAGATGCTTTGCTGCAGAGCTGTGAGTGACAGATGTGTGAAGTGACAAGCAGCAGACAGAATGCTTTGCAGCATTCCTGGTGGAGGCACACACTGTTTGGTCAATTAGAATAATGAGTGCTAAACCCTTATATAAACTCAGGCTTTGAATGCGTATTAATCTATATAACTAAACGTCATTAATGAATCCAAAATCTCTTCCACTTACCTCCTGGTTTTGGAGGTTTGTAGCCCTGAGGGACTCCTCCACCAGCCCCTGAAAGAAATGCAGACTCATGTTATTACTATATACCAGGAAACACAAGGTTAGGGCTTTTTAGGCCATATAATACAGATTAACAAACTTTAAAATAAAGACCACCAAGATAAAAAAAAAAATATTGGATATAATAGTAGGCATATGATGTAATTACCCACAATTTGTAAGTTTTCAATTAACTTTATTTTATTGAAAGAACCGATGCATAAACAAGACCCATAACCACCTTATGTTGGGGCTGTGAATTTAATTTGTCACCCTTTGTTTTGTGAAATGTATCTTAGGTTTGAATTTGTGTAAAGTGAAACTTTTTTTCTGGCGATTTACCTACTTTATATATTTAATCACAAACATATCAGCGAGATATGATCCTAGTCTGTGATTCCTGCTAAACATGAGCAATAAGATATTGGAATAAGATAGATAAGAAAAATGATTTCAATTGAGAATTCAGTAACAGTGACTATGTTCTCCTAAAGCTGCTTGGAAAAGTTATTTATCTTAACTAAAAGTGAATGTAGTTGAAGTTGAAATAACTGTTGTTCTGGTAATTACAAAGTCTTTAATTATAACATGATGTGTCATATGGGCTGAGTTAGAGGTTTCATTTTAAATTAAATCATTCAACTTTTCTCTACATAGTCAATATGTGATTTAGGACCAGCTATTTGATAATTTCATTCTAATTAGATATGGAATTAAAATCTTGTTCATCTAATTTATCCTTGTTGGATAGATTAAAGTACAGTGTTACCCAAAACGTAGTGGAGCTTAAGATAACAGCACAAAAATGCATTTATACTGAAAGCTTCTATTTATCTGTTTTTAAGTTATTCATAAGGTAAACTAAAGGTATTATCATGAAGGAAATGTACACAGTGCTTTTGGTTTTAAAACTTGGCCCTCTTTGATCTTCTAAATCTTTACCCCCATCCAAAACGGGAGGCATTTTGAAAATTAAATCAGCTGCAAAAATATTAAGCCCACAGATTTCTCCTCCACAGTAGTTTAATTGAGCTCCAGAGATAAACAGATCAGTTTGCTGGAGTTAGTCTCTGTTACCTGGAAAGAATCCAGTCCCTGGTAGAGGGGCTCCTGGTCTATACCCAGGACCAGGTGGTACATACACACCTGCAATACACATTGGAAAAAAATATTCGTATTACTTCACCAGTATGTATAATAGTGGAGTGAAAACCACATGCAGTTATCTCATTTCTTTTTTCTCCTTCCATTCTAATGTCCCTTTATATCTAAACAAGAATCCAATTTATCAGACAAACATTTAGAAAAACCGAAATCTGTCCTTGATGTTCACATCTGGAGCTCATCACAGCCGTGATGAAGTGCACAGCGAAAAGTGAATCACTGAGTCGTCTGCTAAGCTCAGAGCAAAAGCAGAACTTTATAGGTATTGAGAGAAGCACACTTGGATTGTTCTCATGCTGATGAGGTACCGCAGTTGGAAGCCCTCATTCGAAGAAAATGCTGCACCACTGTGGACACCCTCAACCCCCGCCTACATTATCCCCTACGGCTTTGTTTCTGAATGGAAACACCTGAGATGGTTGTTCTGGACTCCAGACATGATGGCCTCATGTGTGTAAAGAACAACATCAGAGCTTTTTTTTTTTTTAGAAACGAAAATGAGGAAAATGAATGACTGGTTGTAATGGGATAAATGACAGCTAAATCCAAAGGGATGGGTGAGCTAATGCCTACTTTGCAAAAGTATATTCTAATATAAACTGGTTTGCATCAAAAAAATATAATGCAAATGAGAGAGCTGGGGCGGTCGAGCTGCTGTGATTATGCCTAATGGCTGCTATATGTGCTGGGAGCCCAATTAATTTAAACCACATGTCAAAGGCACTGCACTGCACTTCACACTGACTATGGCAATTAGGGGAAGACCATTACAAGGCATTACAGTCTGATCTAGCTGCAGGAATATTTATTACACCAAAAAATTATAAATCACCCAGTTTGATGAGCTGGAATCCTGCTTCAGTACATGAAAATCCGGCATGGCTTTGGGTTTCTCACTAATTAGCCGTGTAATATTCCTTCTCTTCGTGCCATTACAAAATCCCACTTTGATTTATTAAATACAGCACAGACCAAAAGTTTGAACACACCTTGTCATTCCAAGAGTTTTCTTTACTTTCATGACTATGAAAATTGTAGATTCACACTGAAGGCATCAAAACTATGAATTAACACATGTGGAATTATATACTTAACAAAGAAATGTTAAATGACTGAAAATATGACTTATATCTAGGTTCGTCCTATATTCTAGGTTCTTCAAAGTAGCCACGCTTTGCTTTGACTACTGCTTCGCACTCTCTTGGCATTCTCATCATGAGCTTCAAGAGGTAAACACTTGAAATGATCTTGGAGGAGTTGCAGGAGATGCTTAGCACTTTTGCCTTCACTCTGCCGTCCAGCTCACCCAAACCATCTTGATTGGGTTCAGGTCTCGTGATTGTGGAGGCCAGGTCGTCTGGTGCAGCACCCTATAACTCTCCTTTTTAGTCAAATAGCCCTTACACAGCCTGAGGTGTGTTTGGGGTCATTGTCCTGTTGAAAAATAAATGATGGTCCAACTAAACGCAAACCGGATGGAATAGCATGCCGCTGCAAGATGCTGTGGTATCCATGCTGGTTCAGTATTCCTTCAGTTTTGAATAAACCCCCAACAGTGTCACCAGAAAAGCACCCCCACACCATCACACCTCCTCCTCCATGTTTCACGGTGGGCACCAGGGCATGTAGAGTCCATCCGTTCACCTTTTCTATGTCGCACAAAGACACAATGGAACCAAAGATCTTAAATTTGGACTCATCAGACCAAAGCACAGGTTTCCTATGTTCTAATGTCCATTCCTTGTGTTCTTTAGCCCAAGCAAGTCTCTTCCACTTGCTATAAATGTGTCTGCTGCTAGAACTCTGTGTGGAATTGACCTGGTCTCTAATCTGAGCTGTTGTTAACCTGAGATTTCTAAAGCTCTTGGTCTTCCTTTCCTGGGGTGGTCCTGATGTAAACCAGTTTCTTTGTAGCGCTTTATGGTTTTTGCGAATGCACTTGGGGACACTTTTAAAGTTTTGCCAATTTTTCGGACTGACTGACCATCATTTCTTAAAGTAATGATGGTCACTCATTTTCTTAACTTAGCTACTTTTTCTTGCCATAATACAAAATTCTAACAGTCCATTCAGTAGGAATATCAGCTGTGTATCCACCTGACTTCTGCAAAAAAAAAAACAATTGATGGCCCCAACCCCATTTATAAGGCAAGGAATCCCACTTATTAAACCTGACATGGGGACACCTGTAAAGTGAAAACCATTTCAGGTGACTACCTCTAGAAGCATCAAGAGAATGCCAGGTCTGTGCAAAGAAGTAATCAGAGCAAAAGGTGGCTACTTTGAAGAACCTAGAATATAAGACATATTTTAAACATGAACCCATTGCCATCGGTGGGGTGATGTGAAGATGATACATAGAAACGTTTGAATGTGTAGGCCATTTAAAGTATATCTTTAGAAATACTTGAAATCTAGAAAGCATTAAAACATCATATTGCCCCAAAGAGGATAAGTAATTTTAAAACTTGTTTTTGTAAAACAAACAACAACAAAAATTACTCAGGCTTTTGGGGTCACACATTCTAAATCAGGAATAAACTACTGTATATGGATGACTTCACTGATGTTTTCTTTAATGCTGAAGACAGAAAATATATCCTTCAGCAAAATAGATCATTTTAACAGGACTGTGTTGAATGGATGGTCTTCTATTGGTTTACAAGAAAAAGGATAATATGAGTAACTTTGCATGAGCAGAAAACAGTGAGAATTTGGACTAAGAACAGCCTCTTTTGATTTTTTTTTTTAACCTAAAGATTGTTACACATTTGAAATGCTGATTTAAAGGATGGAACACAGTTAATGTCACACATCCAGCGACAACAGCAGCGAGTTAACAGCCAGACCACCAAAGCAGTAGGTTTTGCTCATGAACATAAAATCAATTAGATATTTTTAGAGTTTTTTTGGTCTACTTCTTTCCTATTATTTATTTATTTCATCTGGCACAATATACAAGAATAGTTTAAACTCCAGCAGAGTAAATATGTATAAAATCAGATTGAAACATCTGTTTCACATCCGAGCTACACCAATGGTTAAGCCTTATGAGGTTTTTTAAAAGTCCAATTATTTTCTTTGGCTTCTAGTTTTGGTTGATCAGAATATTTTACTTTTTACTGTTTGGAGATTAAAGTTTATTTAGTTGTGTTTATGCAGCAGGTGATTTTATACACTGTGTAGCATTTTGATCAACTATAACTATTTCTAAATGTGTCACCGGAAATTAAAGGAGGCCTTGTGAGTACATGCATATATACACAGATGGCCCTTAACATACCAGTCTATCCAAACAATCCTTCCCTTTATTTAAAATTACACCACTTCTTGTGTCTCTTCACTGGCCCCTGTTCGTTTTAGAACTGCTTTTAAGATTTTATTGTTTGTGTTTAGAGTTTTGAACGGGATACATTGCCGACCTCCTCCTGATTTACTCTGCGGCACGTGTTCAGAAGTCTGAGGGGCATCTTCAGCTAATAGTGCCTAAGACGAGGCTTAAAATCCGAGAGGAAAGGGTAGTTTTCTGTAGACTTTGGGATACTTTGCCCCTCTATATATGAGCAGCCTCCACAGGAGTGTTTTAAGTCTTACGTTAAGACCCACTTTTTTTTTTTTTTAAGTTTTGTCACAGCCGGTTCAATACCATTTTCCTCATTTAGAGACTAGGCTTGTTTTCAATTTTGTTGTCTCAGGTTTACTTTGTATTTTGAATTGATCTGAGTTTATTAGTAAAACATAACATCTTGACACTTTAGTGCATGTTGGCTTTTGTACTCCCTTTTTAAAAAAGTTTTTAACTTTATAATTAAAACGTATATGTGTTAAAGTCTAATCCCTTCAATTATAAACAAAAACTAGTCAAAATTTTGATATAAACGGCCGTTGAGAAAGACATTTACAGTGGGATGTTGAAACGTGCATTTGTACTTAAGATCTGCGCTGAAAATTGGAACAACAACATGTCTTTATGCAAAGCAAATCTGTAGTCACAAGCTACAGCGAAGGACATCTGCTCATGATCATGAACAAAGTCTATTCTTGAGTAGGGAGCCAAAAAGGGTTTACAGTTAGCTTGATTATGTTGAAACCAGGAGAATGTGCCTCCTTTTAACAGACGTGTTAATGGCAGCAGTTACAGTGACAGCTGTGCATGATTTCATGAATGAGCAAATAACTGGGAAGATCAGAGAACTAAACAATTGTGGAATTTCTCAAATTTCTTGTGGCTTGGCCTTGTAATACTAACCAAAAAGGACTGACGATCCTGAAGAGCTAAACAGATTGTAGTGAACTGGTAAGAATGCCTTTCTTTTCTGCATCTTTTTTAGCAAAAACAGCTAAAACAATAAATGTAACATCTGTGAGAATATGTGTTTGTTTCTAAGCTTCTGACATTTTGTCTTTTTAAATATATCACTTATAAAGCTCTCAGCTCCACACGATGGGTGCAGAGTGATTGTTCTCGTTTTCACTCCTTCGTTTTACAATCAAAAGAAGGATTTCCTGTCTTGACAGGAAAGTGGAAACTGCGAGTCTATGAGCAGCACTTTTTCCTTGTGCTTGAAAAACGTATCTAGCTGCAGATACATTCTTACAGAGTGCATGAAGTTCACTAAAACCACACATCACAAGGATGGCAAACACTGATATTTGTCGAGGGAAGAGATTTAAAAAATTGTCTCCTGATCATTTTAATTCAAGTCATCATCCAGCACTTACATTCCTGGAGAACTCAAGCAGGTTATGGGAATCAGCTGGAATGTGTATGAGGGATAAATATCCCCAATGAAAAGGGATCATATGAGGCTGGATTTATACCATGTTGACTCAAGTTTAGGAGTTTACTTTAGGTATTTGTGGTGACAAATAAGCTAAGCAAATGAAAGATTTAAATGACCAGATGCAGACATAATTAAAAAAAGCTAAACAGTAGCTGTTACAAGAAGAATTGAAATATAGATTATGTAGACAGCATTAAG